GTTTAAAGCTGTGTGTTTTGTTGGCATTCTTTCTTGCAGATAAAAAAAAGTATTACCCAAGGGCCCAAAGCTGCCTTTGGACAATCTTGGAGCAGTCCTAAATGTGTTCAGTTTAAAAAAAAATAGCTTAAACACTAAACCTGATAATCTTTTTATGTAATTTTACATCCTTTTGTCACTTTATAGTATGCAGTTTGGGTCATTTTGGAATTTTACATTTGTGTGTACATAAATATTCTCCCTTTTACATTATGTGTCTTGTTGCACCCAGTTGGTMCAGTGTTGATGATTCAATTTCCAATTTGTAAAAGTCTGGCTTACAACAACCGATCCAAAAAAAAAATGTTGTAAATATCAGTGCAAAATATATCCGTATTTGCAATATTGTGACTTATTATTCAATATAATGAGAGTGTTTTGAGTGGGTCTAATAAAATACGTAAGTGAAAGAAGGTATTTGGTTATTTTAAGGGGGTAGTAGAACATGACAAAAGCAGGAGTTAATCAGCACCATTCTAATTTAAAGTTATTTGTGTTAGCAAAACCAGACTAATGATGTATGCTATTTAAAAACTGTCAAYGTTCCTTTGTTTAACCCCGAGCTCATATTTAAACACTTTGTCTTAAAGAAAATGAACTTGGCACACATCAGTATATTGCTGTTTAAATACAGTATTTCTTCATTAACTAAGTCTGCGGACAATGTTGCAACTTCCTTGTTGAAAAAGGGAAGAAAAAGTTCTGAAAGTGCCCTGGAACATTGTGCCACATTGTTTCCAATTCAATGTGTGGCCCTTTGATTGTTTTGACAAAGTCATTATAGACTCCCTGAAACAAAATGTGGCCCGCCTCTGACTGATCTAAAGACAGGTTTGTTGATTAGAGTGAATGTGAAGACAGGGTGTGGACAGCAGCTTTATGAGACCAGAGGAGGACACCTGAAGCTCCGGCTCTGAGAGTTTTTCCCTCTGTATCACTTTTGACACCTCCTCTCCCGCCTTTTGCAGGATTTCGAGTAATCAATGCCTTTTGTTCCACACACACACACACTTACGAAACAATCCCAGTAACTGCCCCCCTCCCCAAACCCCCACTGTAAATCTCACATTCTACACTTCAGACACACATGAGGGGCAAGCACATTYGACCCCCCACCCCCACGTTTGGGTCCACTTTGAGGCCTCTGCAGACAAGTCTAGTTCTGGTTCAAGGTCTAAATTGTCAGTTTATTTCTTTGTCATAGAAGGTTTAAAAAAGGATGCATTAATATGGTTTGTAGATCAGATGCATCACCTCAAGGTGGCTACATTGTACGTCAGAGTTTTCAACTAATATTGTCTTTATGTTGAGAAATGACAGAGTAGCCTTTTGGGTCAAACCTTGTCGCTAAATACCACATGAAATCTAATAATGAAAGTACTCAGATTGTGTTGTATTTGAAGTCCAGCTACTACCACACCAAATTTTAGCTTATCATCTCTGAAACCGACAGTGATAGCCATTGTTGTGTTGGTCAACATCTATTAGCTGTGGCTACTTACTGCAGATAGTTCACACCCTCTGTTTAGTCAGTTTGAGCCTTTGAAGTCTGGAAGACGATTCAGAGTTCCTCTGGCAAAAAGTATTTTTAAAAAATCCTTTGTCCCAAGCACCATCGCTATTCTAAATCAAACTAAGCGATAGCATGTATATCTGACTGAGATGTTGGGGGTGGAGGCATTTTAAATTTTGTATTTTAATACTTTTTCATAAATGTTCTTATGAACTTGTTTTCTGAGTTTTTTTTTGGTTTTTAGAGTTGTGCTTCATGTGTTGTTTCGTATATGACATGTCTAATGAGCCAAAGACAATTTTCCACTACGGTGGACATTAAAGTTCTATTCTATTCTACCATCTTGGATCAGGTGATGATGAGGTTCAGGTTATGTAAAATGTGTTTTTCAATGTCAAAAAAATGGCAGCCATTTTGAATTGTTTAGACTGTCTTTGGCCATCTGATGTTTATTTCTGAGCGTTTTGAAAAACCGTTGAGTGGTATGTGAGATCATTTGCTAGACGTCAGACAAACACACACACACAGACCAGAAAACAAAGCTGCTTCGCCTTCAGTGGGTTTGCGGTCGCGCAGTTTGATTGAAATCTACRTCAGAATCTCACATTTACTGTCAGTTTTGTAAGACGAGGAAGACGATATGTTTTGTCAGAGGAGGTCAAAAGCGGCATCCGAAGTTTGCATCAGGGGAAGTACGTGGCGTCACTCTAAAAGGCGTACAATTACTTGTCGTTTTCATTATTGTCATTCCTAAGAAAACCTCACAGACCTCAATAATCTTCTACAGAACTTACTTTAAATTACTTTTTTTACAATTGTGTGAAAGTATTTCACTCCTGCGGCACACTTTGCAGTTTCATTTTTTTCATATTTTCTCTGCTCGGAGTAGAACTGAGCCTCAACACTCACTTGTCTCTTTCTCTCTTTCCTGTCTGTCTGGGTCTTCTATTCACTCTGATACTTTTCCAACAAACTGCTGAATAAGATGCCTTCTGTTTTGTGAGCAGAAATTCAAATGAGAGAATATTTTTGAATCTGACCTGTTTCTGCTTTTAAACTAATGAGAGCTTTTCCAGGCATTGCTTCTTGACAGCATCCCCCCCCCCATTTCTTTCTAGTCAAATGTTTGTCTCATCCCTACCCCCCACCCACCCTCAGCCCCAGCTCACACACCTTAGGTGTGTAGATTAGCTGTGCTGCACTGCACTGTGAACACAGTAGAGGGCTTGCTGTAAGCATTTAAAATGCAAATAGGGCAACACTGGGACCGGCTCCGGCAGTCTCTTACCTGCTGTGTCTGTGTGTGTGTCTGTGTGCTTGTGTGTGCAGGTGATGGTATGCAGGAGAATGCAAAGAAGCCAGCTGTGTTGCTTTGTACGTAAATTTCCTTTAACATGTTTGCACATGCAACTTTAAGTCACATCCACGCTCCATCACTGCAGTAAACACATGCTGCTGGGCGCAGTTGTGAAATATTCTTTAAATGTCCTTTTTTTTCTTTTTCTTAAATGTGATCTTTTGTTTGGTTTGCAACAATCCAACGTTTTTTAATCATAGTTTCCCACTTCCTCTGCCCATCAAACTGTTGATTGATCAAACTAATCAAATTAGCTCAGTGTTAAAAAGTTCGACTTTGTTACAAAGATAAAGTAAAAAAAACCATCACTTGTTGGGTATTTGGTGCTGATATTGTACAATTGAAAAAAAATGGAGAAAAAAAAAAACATAACCAAAACTCACCTGGATTGTGTACCGAAATATTAATCAGAAAAAGGAAAAGTTGTCATTTTTTATTGTAACTTTTTTTTGTTTGGTTCAAGACACATGAGGAAAAATGAGTTTTCATTTCTCAAGACATTTTTTTTTTTGTTTTTGACAAGCTAATTATAAATTTGTTATCTGAAAGGTCAGAGGGTGYACGAACAAATGCTCACAAGACAAACTCTCACAGCCTTAAAGAAAAAAGAGACAAAAACTCACAATTGTTTTGTTTTTAAAACAACAAAGCAATGGTATTTGTGACACCTCGGAGTTGCTTACACATTCCTTATTCTGGTCTGTTCTCACCTTATTTATTTTACTAAAATTGTTATTCACTCGAGCAAAATTGAAGCTATGTTGATAAGTGTTTTTAATTTCGTACAATATGGTTACATCTGTGATGCAATATGTGTATGCTAATACTTTGTGATGCAAATCTTATTCTGTGAAACAATATGTGGCTAACACAAATTGTATAATGTGTGAGCATTTTGTCTTTTTTTCATGAAGGATGTGACCTTTTGCCTTATGAGCACATGTCAGGAACTCGTCAAAGAGGTTTAAATTTGAAAGGATTCCAGAAAGTTTGATTTCTAAAGGCTGGGGTCAGTTAGATTTTTACAGAAGGATTCAGATGTTGAAGCAGCTAAAATGCAATTTACAGAGACATGGCTGAAGAAATATTAATAAATGTCTTTCTTTCAGCTGCCCCTTTCTGCAGGGGTTGCCACAGTAAGTGAATCAGCATGAAAAATTGAGCAGATAATTCACACCARTTGCCCCTCCTGATGCAACCTGGACTTGAACCTGCAGTCTCAGAATTATTAGACCATGCTGAAGACCACTAACTGCCACAGCCCAAGTCTGACCTAAACTCACAAGGCAGAAGCTCACACTATTAATGAAAAAAAGACAAAATCTTAAACATTATACAGTTTTATAGACACATATTGCATCGCAAAAATAGCACATAAGATTTATACCACAAAATATTATCAAACATACAGCGGG